TACAATTCAGAAAATGGAGAAGTTTCTTGGTTGTGTCGTTCACATGTCTATTTTTCGTCAACCGAGAACACGTATGTTTTGGGCTGTGGAAACAGAGGATGCGAGGTGGAATCTGACAGGATGCGAGCTGGAATCTGACAAAAATTTGAAAAAAGAGAGGATGTTTTCAGGAAAAGACGTCATGCGTTGAGGACACTGAAATAAGAGTTGTGAAATGGCATGATGAACGAAGTGTAAATATTGCTAGTTCGTTTGCCAGCGCCATGCCGACATCAGAAGTTCGAAGATGAAACAACGTCACGAAACAGCACATAATGGTTACTCGTTCTTTTAAGGTAGATTTTTATAACCGTAGCATGGGAGGCATAGACTTGTTAGATGCGCCTATAGCCTACTATAGAAAACGCATTCGGTCAAAAAAGTACTACCTAAGGATCTTCTTCCACCTGGTTGATTTGGCTATTGTAAACAGCTGGATCCTATACAGAAGAGATTGTGAGTCCCTGGGAGTTGCGAGTAACAAGCAGCGAGATTTTTTATCGTTTCGACGTTTTGTGGCAGAATCTTTTTGCAAGCTTGGGAAAACATCCACTCCACTTAAGCGAGGCAGGCCATTGTCTACTACCCCACCACACCCCAACAATAAGGTTAGAACCGACGCCACCGGCCATTGGCCTGTGGTAGAAGCTAAGAGACAGCGATGCCGTTTCCCTGGGTGTGATAGCAAGTCGGTAATCAGATGTATCAAATGCGGAATATATTTATGCTTAAACAAAGCCAAAAATTGCTTTGCGTGGTACCATGGCGTATATTAATGACCAACAGTACGGTCTACTGACCATTTTCGGTCGTCCGGTTCCGTTTATTTTGAATTGAATTTGTTATATTTCCATTTGTATCATACGCAATACGTGTGAGTATCGACACAATAAATTCATCACGTGGACGAGTGTATCGATTTCGTGACAAAAAATTTTCTCCCAAATGGGGGGTAAGAGAAAAAAAATAAGTTTAAATTCGTATTCTACGGCCTTGAATTAGCAAATAACCGAAGCGGCGATTTTTTTCTCCCAGCGGATCATAATTCCGGCATTAAGTGGTTAAAGGATTAAAATTTTGATTGGAGTTTATTTTGACTATGACATCATAAAGACATGAAAAATTAATTAGAAACACAAGATGGTATCACGTGGTATGGCGCAATAGTGACATCATAGTTATAACGTCATATGTTTGGATTGTATAGTGTTTATAGGGCTTATTTGACAGAGTGTTGTAATAACCGCTCCTTTGCTGCCTGCGAATCCGTATGCACTGGCTACTAGAACGGTGTAGCTGCTATATTCGGTGATTTTGCATGACACTTTCACAAATTTTTCAACGTTTCGTCTGATCAATATCAGACTTTCTCGAATAAGATAGGCAGTTTACGACAATGATGAGAAATGAACAATCACGTGGTTTAAGTGAGGTTCACATGGGGTTGTTTAAAAATTAATTTTTTGATTAATTGTGACAACACAATGACTTATAGAGAGTGTTTAATAATGCAAGCTTAATCTTTCGACCTATTTCATACGACTTAACAAATTAGAAACATCTATGTCAGCTAATGCAATCTTGCACGTACATATGGAAGTTTGCACTTCCAAGTCACTTTCAGGATGAACTATTTCGATGGCATGTCTTACAATGGAAAAATGACATGCTGGATAAAAAATACCGGAAAACGATATGAATGTCCATCTGACCAGAAAACCAGTATGGTGATTCAAAATAGGAAAGTATCAGTACTCCGATTTAGAAATAGAGTCAACAATTTTCCCATGAACATCGCTTTCTAGATAAAATCTTCTAGGTAAAATTAGGGCTTCGTACAAAATCCTATCTACAGAACCTATTTTCCGTCATGTCCGTCCGTCACGTTCCGTCATTCCACAGCACGCCAAAGGTTACGATTGTGTTTTAAACAAAAACAACAAGCGAAAATGCGAGTTCCGATTAGCAGCAATTTGATGGGTAAATTTTAATGTTCCAGTACGAAAAATTGGGTTAATATGAATTTTTCATTTCTATGTTTTAATCAAGACTTTGCTTTAATTAAACACAACAACAGAACTTAGTAATTGGAATAATGGTGTTTGTATTTATGCGCGGCAATAAATGAGTGTTCCCATTTAATCCAGTCAATTTCTGGTTGACATTTTCCAGAGAAGAGTGCCAACCCGAAAATGCCAAGGATTCCACGTGGCAAATGAATAGAGGTCAGCTAAACTAAAAGTAGACACAACCCCGTGTCCATCGATTGTGTGGCATATGGCCTGAATCATTAAATGTATATACAACTATTGTATCTGACAATTTTTGATCGGGCAAATATCAAAAATGAAATTTAAAATGTGGTTTGGCCGATTATTCAAATATTTGACAAATACTTAAAATTTTATCAACCGAAAATTATAGGAAAATACATGATAAACAGATAAAGGAATGTCTTGTCTTCGTTGTTTTACTCTATATTCTCTATTGTGAAGTGGGCGTACATATATATATAAATGTATTTTTTTTCAACAATACCGCCATTGCTAAATCAAGTATGCATACTGATACAGAATATAACCAAGCGAATACGAGTGCTACATAGGTTCATATTCAACTCGAAGGCACTTCCGATATGCCACAATATTCGTAAAACCCATAAGATAAAATGATACAAAGTAAGAGCAAATTTCTTCGTGTTACTATTTTTAAGCTTTAATTAATTATGGTATTTCACAAAAATTTGGTGCAAACGCGATACTCTTAGACTTTGGGCGAATCTGCATATGCAACATTAGATATAATTTAAAGCACTAAAATTTTAGGCAACAAGTCATGCTTTATGTAGTCATTATGTAACTCATGACCGTGTACGTGGAGTTTATCGAGAAAGGACAAACCATCGATGCAGAACATAGGGTGGTTTTTTATATCCTACCAACGGGTTTTTTGCACCAACCATTAGTCGTCTAACTCTAAAGCATTCAATCGTGGGAATAATTTACCACAAATCGGATGATGTGATTTTTGCAAGGATGAACCAGTAGAGAGAAAGAGTGGGAGGAGTCGTGTTTAGCAATACAGAGTAAAATGAATCTAGTTTTCCTCAAAACATAGAAAGGTGCTGATCTCACAATTTTGGGCGTTCCAAAAGTGTGTGTACCAAACCTACGGGCAGGGAGTATGTCCACGTGGCTAGCACAAACTATCCCCGAACTCGTAATAGAACTAAAAAGGGAAAATCGGAATAAAATTATGGCCTAACCCTAACCTGCTACACACACTACGGGAGTAGCAAATTTTGATCAGAGAAATTGTTTGATCAGTTTATTAATGAAGTAATATGTTCATTTTGAATTAGCTAAAACAAACAATTGTACACCTGGGTCGTTTGCAACTTCTTTCCTAATATGGCTTTGTGCGAACATTCACTGATAAATTCATATCATGGGGGTATAGACAACATATCTAAGATTCTTATGCAAGAGTTTTCATGGAGTTGCAATATTTACCATAATTATGTTGTGATCATTCCGTGTCGAATATTCCGGTGTGAAATGAAAGCTCTCGGATCATTGGATGGAATACTAATAGAATTCCAGAAAATGAATAATAATTTTTTTGAGTAAGTGTGATAATTGTGCTGAGTAATGCTTAAAATAATGAATAATCAATATTAATAAATTGGTTATCTTTCAAGGAGTTAATTCTTCAAACAATTATCACTTCTACTTTCTTTTTTAAAATTAAATTCCAGAACGGTTTTAAAATAGTATCTACCAGTATTTTGCCTTATTTGATTTACAATCGATAATTATTCTAGTGTGGTAAATATTTCGCAATAATGCTGACAAATCGTGATGTATCGTTCATTAATATTATGAAAAAGGTAAATTATACATTTTTCGCAGTAAATCAAACGAGGGATATTGATAAAATGCGTGCCTGTTGTATGTATTAATGTATCATTTGACAGTAGCAAGTGCCGTTAACATTGTACAGGTGATCAAAATACACCGAAACAATTTCTGGCTGCAATAACAACAAAATACCAGTAACATATATGATAAATTTTGAAGCAAATTTTAATCGATTTTGTGGCCGATAACCTTAAATGGAATATAGAACAAACCAAGAAATTATGTTAAACATAATCCGAGAGTCACGCAAATATGGAAACCGCACGCAATATCAATTTAGATTAGGCGTCTATCGACGGCCTAGAATCGCCCAAATGTATTATGAAATCTTGTAGTCATAGGAACAGGTCGCGTATCGCTCTAACGGCGCAATTGAACAAATATAATAAAAAAATCCAACATGACACCTAGATACATTAAATTGTTTGTCACAAAGTCGTCCTGAACAAATCAAACGAGTCTTGCTTGTCTCACACTTGCTCTGCTTGTCCCACTTTTGTCTTGCATTTAACACACCTGTATTTGTTATTTATCTATATACTTTCGTTTTAAAGGGAGCAAGAATAGCATATAGCAAGAAAATAAATTTCAATTGTTTATAGCTTATTGACGGCTCGGACAGGCCCAGAGTGTCAAACAACATTTTTAGATGTGTGGTAATATTCCGAGTGTGTGCGCGCAAAATTGCCTTTAAAATGGGAAAAGGCAAACGACCATAGTTTCCAACCAACGTATATACAAACTCATTTCATCAGAGCAATGTAACGTTCGCTTAACCGTATCGTCTGCTTCCATTTAGTTGTATACCATTACTAAGTAAGCTTGATAACAGACATTGGTTGCCTGGATACATTGTTCGAATCCCATGATTCGTGTTCGAGTATTATCAGTTACCAGATCCTATAAATTTTGCAGATAGAACCCTCACTTGCAGTGTGGGTTGTTCAAAAAGTCCTGTTGGACTTACAGTTTTTTTTTTTTATAAAACCAGTTCTCAATATATCTTAACCAGGTTTGTTTTACCTCATTTAACACACCTTATTAACAACTTTTTTTATTGAATTTAATACAAAACTCGAAAACTTTCTACAATAACATGGCCTATTTTCTACAAAACGGATCGTAAAAAATATAGAAGTTAAAATATCTACTCGGAAACTGAACAGACCGCATTATTGACATTTGAACATTGACTGAATCAAAAATTGGATTCGAAATATTTAATATGAATTTATTTAAGATTTATTGCCAACCTGAGAGACTGTTGTCAAGGCATGGTTTTTTTTTTGCATTATTTAAGGATGGTACTGCTAGGAATATCAGCAATACCAATTGAAAAATTCAAACATAAAAGATTGATTTCTCTAAAGCTGACTGAACGTTTAAATTTCTCTTTTTTTCAAGAGCATAATTGCTGGTTAGATATCGTTGTTAAAATCTATAAATAAATCGTAGGTAAATAATAAAAAGGACGAGTGGGTGTTTTTATTAACTTTATAAAATTCATAAACGTCTGTAGCAGATGGTTTAACATCTCATAAAATAAATTCGAGCTGTAGTGTATTGTATTTTTTTTATTTTATTATAAACGCCAGGCGAAGAACAAACACGAATACATCATGCTTTGCAAAGAGAAGGCACCCGAATAGTTTGACATTTCAAATTTACAATTACAATATTTAATTAATATAAGAAAGAATATTAGATTTGAATATGAAATCATCGATGCACGGGGTTTGAAATTTGTAGTGAAGGCCGTAAACAATTGAAGGGAAAGGGGATAAATCACATGGCAACGTAATCAAAAATGTTAAAAATAGGCTTGAATAGACAATACTTCAGCGCAGTCCTTTCAACGTAAAACAGGTATTCTGGTAGGATGAAACTGAAATTGCTGCCGGTAGAATCTCAGCAGTGTAGTGGTTACTATGGGCGTCAAATGCCCTTCTAGTCCAACCACTGCACTACTCAACGAAGAAAAATCATGTATCGATAAAGAATAATTTTTTTTCATTATTAATATTTATTGAAAACAGGCACGCACAAAACACAAATCCTACTATCGAAAGACGTAATAAAATTTTAGAAAAGTTGATACAATTGCACCGAATTATGTACTTCAGTTAATAATGATAGATTCGATATACAAATATGTAAATTTGTTTTGTGAGAATGTAGTAATGAATTTGCATTGTCATTTACCTCCATTTAGTAATAATATTAACGGCGTTAAGGAAAATCTGACATGGTCTTCAAAAAAATGGAACAGACTATCAATATATGAAGACAGAATAACATGAATGCTTTAGACTTGAAATCGACAAGACTTATGCTGGATTTGTGTCACAGCCATTTCATTCGTTACGAATAATTTTGAATGAATCACTACAAATATTAATATAATGGTTTCTATAACTCCAAAACAATACTTATAGTTAGCACTACTCTTGCGATGTGCTTCACACAATACAAACCCTTACATTTACATGTTTTTTGTGGTTTTTGCATTAAAACGCACTAAAATACACATATAAAAAACATGATCGACGGAGATTGTTTAGCAGAGCAACGTTGTGAAAATTAATTGAACGATGCCAGATTTCAAAACATTTGATAATTCTTAGTTGAGCATAAGCACTCTATTTCCGAGTGCATGGTTAGATCACGCAATGAAATGCGTCTTGTAGAGCCATATATATCTAAGATTGAAATGTAACAATTTATTTCGCTAAAAAGCGTTGATTCATGTGAAACCGATCTAAAATCTTTTGTTGTGATTCGATGTTATTTACTGGCAACCGTTCTTCCAGGAAATCATCCAGAACGGATAAGCCAATTGTTCCAATCCGTGAAACCTCTACGGGGTCCAGATATGTGTTGGTCTCACTTCTATCGAAGAGTCCAGGGAGTTTGTGAATATGCTGCGATTTAGTTTTTATCGTCTTGCCATCTTGATCGTATACCTATGTGAAGTATAGCAAAGACTTTATATATTTGTAATAGCATTTTTATAGGCCTAACTCGAGACCAGTCAATTGAAAATGTGTGTAGGGTGCGATTCTGCAAATGATTTCACATTTCCATCGGCATTTATGGCTGATTCAGTCATTGAAATGGGATGTAATGCGCATATAAAATGGAACTTCAAGAAATCTGAGTACAAGTCTGGGACGATCTCATGGGGTTGTTTTTAAGTGGACAGTGAATGAGAGCGGTGATCAATAAAAAGAGTATTTCGAGCGGTGTTGTCAGACTGAAAATTATTAATAATAGAAGATGGAAGCGTACAAAAACCCCACGTTAGACATTCCATATAAAAGCAATTTAGCAATGAAATTTTGTTTTTGCGCGAAAAATGACAAAAATGAGGACATTTTTGTTATAAAAGTAATCAATATTTCTGATTGATTTACAATCAATTCAAAATGTAAAAAGATTTGTGTTAAAAATAATTCACGAAACTGACATGCAAATCCGCATCCATAATGACATGCAAATCAGCATCCATAAGCAAATTGGGCAATAATTACAAATCACATGCAAAAGCAGTTAGTTTTAAAATTTACTTGAATCTAACACTACTAGATATAAAAATATCACAATGTCATACTGTAAAAATAAAATTCAATAAATTTAAAATGAAAATTTATTAAAATTAAATAAATTTGATAAATCCTAATCCTGACGTGTTGTTCATCTATGTTTAGTGTTTGAAAAACTCCACTTTTGTACAAATACGTGATTAGAAACAGCTTTGCATTTAAATCATATAAATGTCAACGATTTTTGAATATTTTACAAATGGCAAACACATTCAAGGTTAGAAAATACACGTAATATCTCTCATTAAATGGCAAGTTATATGCAATCTAATACCTTCATAAACCCGTTTAAATTTCTAACATGGCCCAACTTTCAATATAATATATTGAATAGGATGACTGCGTATGACGTAATCAAATGATAAACTTATTTAAAAGGTCGGACAATTGACCTTCAGGAAACGATATTTCGAAAGAACCTTCAATCGCGGGAAAAATGATGTCATCTATATACTTTCGTACTAAAGGCGCAAGAACAGCATACAGGAAGAAATAATTTTAATTGTTTATAGCTTCATTCGTGCGATTTTTGAGGTATTATAATAAATGTTGAATATATAATTATTCGCAAATGACTGATAGATGACACGGCTCCCGAAAAGCTACGCCCCTGAGTGTGAAACAATATTTTTAGATGTGTGGTAAATCGTTCCTAAGGATTTTGTTAGGTTTTGTATAAATGGCATGTTCGCGATCGCGATTCTTCGACGGAAGAGCGCCCAACAACAGTTAAGCATAATGAGCTGTTAATGCAGCAGCTCAATACCCATTTCTATTCGGGGTCACCGAAATGATGATATGAGTTTTTCATCCAATTCTATTAATAATAATGTTGTGGTATATTCTAGCTATACAATCATCGTCTTAGCTTATGGGCAGTCATATTTACGGAGCAACTGGAACCTTTCCCACCAAAAAAAAATCTATCTTGCGTAGACACTGGGCCATGCGTGTATCGTAAGCGGTAGATTAAAAGTCGAGCAAAACTATCTGATAGATATTTCAATCGGGGTCTTGTTTTCTGCCAAAATACAATCCATGGCCCTACGGCCCTCTGAGCACTACTTGAGTTTTTAACATAACGTTGTAAAAAATGCCTATTTAACAGAATACCATACTATAAATATGGATCATATGATACCTTCAAATTCCTATGTAAAATATGACTTGCTTGTGCATAAAAGAACGATATTTTCATCATTTGCTAACGCCGGAAGTAATTATAAATACATACTGCGTATATATTTTTGTCACTATTTCACAATAAGTTAGACAAGCTATTCATCCTAGTTTGTGGCGCAACCGTCACGTGATTCACCGGTCACAAAATCGAACCACCTCCGTTTTGGTTGCCAATAATAGGAGGTGTGTTGTGGGCGGTTTCCAAAACTCCTAAGTGTGATGTAATGTTAAATTAATGAAACAACAGTATCGTGTTATTGTATTTTGTGGCAAGTAAAATTGATAACGCAACACTCTGTTCGAGTCAAGTTATGTAAAAATACAAGACATTTTGGCAAAACTCCAAGATCCATAGCATGGTTTTTTATCAATCATTTGGTATGGTTTGTGGGAAAGACAATGCCTTCAGCAAAAATAGTGACAAATAAAATAAAACCTTAACACTTTTATTATAGGTAAAAACGGTACTCCCGATTGACCCGAAGTATGTGAACCAAGATGGCGGACACCGGAACGTAGTATGTGTACCAGGTTAGGGTTAGGCCATAATTTCAGGTACAAATATTACGGGAATCACTTGGCTCGTCACCGAACTCGTTATAGAACTAAAATAAAAAAAATTGGAATAAAATTATGGCCGAACCCTAACCTGGTACACATACTACGTTCGGTGTTCGCCATCTTGGTTCACATACTTTGGGAGTATCAAAAAACTACCTTAATAGAAGCAGATATAGATAAGTAGTAGCCAAAGCATTTTCATAACGCTCTTGACAAAGAAGCCGGAAATGAAGAAATATTGACTACTGTAGAAACCATGCAATGGTTTTAGAAATTTTCCAATTCGACAGATGAGTACAGTTCATTTATTTTATGGAATGCCTCACTGACTCATGCAACCAGTATGCAATACAATAATGAACACTATCTCTTAATTAATTATAGTTAATGTGACGTATTTTCAGGTCAGGGAATATTATCGGTTATATTTTCTTAGCAATAATAAAGTATGGCTATCGAAAAAGTGACAAAACAAAGAAAGAACATCAAATATATATTGAGGATTATGCGTCACAAGGAAGTCGAAACTCGTCACAAAAATGCATTACTATTTGGCATCAGAACTTCGAAGTTAAACAAATTAGGCAGCATGGTGCAATGCACTGACCACGGGTTCAATCCAAAATATATCACGTCTTTGTATAGAATCGAAATTAGTTCTTTTATTACTGTTGTAAATGAATACGTGCACCTTCCGGTATCATGATAACTAGCGCATGGTCAAATCGAAAAGGACGCAGATATAATGTTGCTTTATTTTCAAGTAACAAATTGGAAAAGACGTAAATGTGATAAAATTGTCATATATGGAAAATATTTCTCAGCTTATGTGTTACAACTGTTTATGTAAACAAACATACAAGGGTAAATCGTTGAAATATGGAAAGTCAAGATATTGTATTCGAGAGAATTGATATCATTCAAAAAGAGCGGTTTTTATAATTTACAAATTACATTTTTTTTCATTTAAATTTGATTTTGTGTGTAGTGAAATCGTGAATTAAGATTTCGCTTTGTAAAATAAATCATTTCAAAAGAATAGAAAATGAATTTCATGCAATAAAAATTCTGAAAAATCAACCTATTCTGATTTTAACTCTTCATTGGCGTTAAAGATATAAAAAATATTATATCAAAAGACGTGGAATTGTCTAAACTCAAATGCACATAAAATTCATCAAGCCATAATTGGACAATTATGCTTGCCTAACCCTTTTTATCATCCTAGAAAGCAGTTACTTTTAGATTCCGATCGCGTCATTTTATATCAGTTTGTATCAGTAAGAGGTCAAGAGCGGTCAGTGTCGTAACGCGAATGCATGTGGTCACGTACATATATCACGTACTTCGTTCTTAAGGACGACTTATAAGATGAAAATGTATTGATGGCATATTTGGACATTTCCGTCGCGGTTAATTTGGTACTTCCGGTGCGGGTTGAAGTATAAATATAATATTCGGAGATTTATCCACAAATCAAACGGTTTTAAGGTGTTAGCTAAGAGTGAAAAAATAGTTTTAACGTTATATAGCACATATCACTTAACTCATCCTACGTCACAAAAGGTCATTAACAAAGCCTTTAAAAGCCAGGCAAAACTCGCGTTAGCGCTTTTTTTAAATTCTTGTACATACAATCACGGGAACACAATTGTAATAATTACACGCTATTTACGCGTCGACAAAAATGGAGATTGTGCGGCGCGTGATTATACTTTTCAATGTGTGGTAAACAACATCTGTTTGGGAGAATGGAAAGCTACGATTAAAAATACTAAAAAGGTAGCAGTGGGACTGATAAAGTGACATAGAGGTTCCAATAAGTTAATCTTCATACACCAGCCCTTGGGAGATCGGACGTCGATGACCATAACTTGTATATATTGGAAGGGATCAAGTATGTTAGATATGTTGATAAAATACAAGGACGGGTTGTAGTGTTGGAATGCACATTATCGTGTTAATTGTTTGATGACATAAATGTTGGATTAATCCATTCGGTAAATTTGCACGATCGAGTATCAGTCATAGATAACGCGCACCGTTGATTACGTACTCATGTGTATTATTATGCTGAATGGAATAATAGCAGACCAGAAACAGTTTCAAATTGAATTGCCATAACGTGGTTATATACTGATAATTACTGAAATTAGTTCGATCGAGAGGTGGCCGATAAAGTAAAGGCACTCGAGCACACGAACCAAAAGCTCTTTCTATTAGTTGTTTCAATTCCGAAAACAGCCTAACAATCCATCCAATAAAACAAAATAGTCGGTCGAATTTAAATCTAACAACTCCTATTTTGGAACGTTATAATCACGGTATAACACCAATCCAATACAAAATCGTAAACCTAAAGATACATCTAGTAACATTGAGTCATCTAGGCTCTTCATGAGAGATTTCTAAATGCCCTCATAAAATTTTTCGCTAACATCGTCTTGAATTTTATCGACCTGGCTTCATAGTTCATGAATATGACAAGCCAAATTAGTTTTTCGAATAGGATGTCATTAGTGAGTAGTAATATGGCGCAATGTCTGTCTAAAAATGTATCAAGACACGAAAGGGATGGTTGGACCCCGCCCTCACCGCTAAATAATGCCAGCAATCCCGTGTTGGCCGGGACAAAAATAATACGGGCAGAATAATGATGGCAACCTAAGCAGATTCCTTTGGTGTAATAAAAGCATACAAACGTCTAACCAGCGTAGCCTTCAACGAGAAAACAATTTCTCTCAAAGCAAATGTCACGGTCTTTAAATTTTTACATGAATGTGACTATAAAACAATACAAATAGGTTTTCGATTTAACGGCATTTCAGCCAATTAAAAATGAGATTCGATTTCATTGGTATGCTGTAGCAAACAACTCATAAATTCATGTTGGATAACCATTAAACAAGTTTACTTGAATGACTCAAACTTCCTTGCAGACGATGGTTCACCATAGCTTAAAAACGTTCCGATGAGACAGACCATGACAATGAATGATTAACCATACAGATTTCTAACTCATCAAATTGTATTTATGTACAAATAGAAAGAGCTGCATCGAAATTTATGGACCCTTCGACTTCAAATTTCAGTATTTTAAGATAGAGAGGATTATTGGTTTTTTTTTTTCAAATTTTCTCGAGTCCTATATGCGATCCGATATTTTCCAAAAATGTTGCTGTTATATTTTCATATAAAGGCGAAAGTTTTTTTTATTCTCGATTGCGTCGATATTGGATATTGGTTGTCCGTCGATCTTTTCAACGAACTGAGTGCTCTCATGCCTTACCGTGTCGCCACCGATGCGATCCGATACATTTCCCTATATTTAACATTGTTTTCATTTGTGATATATATGGCCGTCTGCCGATTTAGAAAAGGGATGAAAACTCAGAATATAGATACAAATTATAATCGGTCTCATCTGCTTTACCGTAGATGCCATTCAAATAGCTAATAGGACTATCCTTGATTTTATTCAGATGATTCTTGCCATGATTTTATTTCAGATTTTCCTTAGAAATAACTATAACGCCATAATCAATCTTGATTAGCTAATAATCATTAGCTGACCGAGGAAGCGCGTGTTTAAGGATGCCAAAATATAATTTCTGGAAAGACCGGACCCAATATTTTTGAAGTTTTGTATGCGGATCTTCGGTAAAAATAGTCGAGTAGCCCTGCTAAGGTATACAAAGAGTAAATTAAATGTTTTATCTGTTGGCATGGAAATATCTATTATGGTGGCATTTTGGTGGGTTGATTTATCAAATTCAAAAATATAACAATACCCTAGATCTAGCTGTGTTTAGTATCAATCGGCATGCAAAGTATAATGGAATTACTTGTGCTGAAATATAATTGTTCATGCAACTACGCCGCGATTTACATCTACGACAATTACAAAAATATAATATTTACGTCACAATAATAAAATGAAAGCAAACAAACGGACACGCAATACTTACTTCAGTGACCCTGATTGGGACTTCTTTGGATTGGCTTCTCGCCAAATTTTGCAGAGCGTGACGGCAAGCGTCAGTGTGACGTCTACCGTGCGTCAAAATAAGCGTCAATGCTGCTTGCTGAAGTGCGCGTGTGTCAACGCTTGGATAGCCTGCAAAAGTAATTTTATTTTTAAATATTCCGGAAGACAATACCGGAACGTGCGCGTCAGCGTCTTAGGTTGCTTATTTGGATAACGTAATGCAGCTAACAAAAGAAATTTTGTACGTTGGTGACAGTACAATAAATGCGTGTTTTACAAATATAACTGCAATGTTCAATAATTGACATATCAAATTTTAAAATGAATTTAATACTTTAAGTGAGAAGATACAAAAATCAAATACTATAGTTTGTTCACAAAATTTATCCTTATGATAAGTTGCAATTAATTGGGTTACGGATATCGATACTAATGAATATATTTTGAATCGGAATCATAGTGTGTGTCAAATTTTACCACAAGTAAATTTAACCTCAATACGACACCCGTTATATTAAAAAAGAAACAGGCACGACAATAATATTAAATTCGTTTACAATAAATTCCCATCTTAGGATTTTCCGTGAACATGCCTATATTGGACTGAAATTACCCCCTCTCTCAAGGGGGGTCAACACACTGGTATTTTCGATATGAATGAACTGTACTGAGATTAGATATCAATACTATGATATTGGAAAAATACAGTTCCCTTCTTAAAATCGTATCGACTAAGTATAGTCTCACATTCGCGCTGAATAATAGCGCATAATAGCAAAAAATCACAAGTTATGGAATCTAAGTAGCATATTTAGTATTTAAATACGGTTCTATTAATGGGAGAGAAATGTAAAACTTGTCCTGACAAGTCAATATGCTTGTTTGTACTCATCTAGAAATGAAAGAGCGAAATTGCTAGTAAGTTTGGAAACCATACATTATCATTCAGATAAAATATCGTATAAAAGATACATACTCTCGAAGGCGAATATTCGCATGGTCCAAAACTCTAAACTCTAAAAGGTTGATACGAGAAAGTACCGGGAGTAGACCGCAATAAACATTGTTACATACATAATAATCCGGTCGTGTTTTCAGTCACGCGGGCAAAAGTGCATTTGACTGGTATGGGACGTTGATGAAAGCTATGGTCAACCACTTCGTAGTGAATATACTGATATTCAGGAATAACAACGATTAATGGCTAAAAGTTGTCGTAATGCAAATATATATTTACTCCTTTTCTCAACAACAGGCCATATATGAGTAGGGATGTTTTAAATCTTCATATGAACGGCCTCATCGGAGAGCTATAGGGCTTCCATACAAACAGCAGGTTGGAAATATGACTTTATGTGTATGGCTCAAATCGTCATTTGAATGAATTTTCCTGTATTAGACTATCATGCTGCGAGTAAGACAGAGGGCTATATATTTTCCGTTCAGCTGCACAAGATTTAATACCAAACGAGTACTTCATGTGACTATGTTGAATTCTAAGATTTTCCAAAACATTGGTTTGCTGTAGGATAAGATTAGGTAGTTTACTTTATTTAAAACTTTTAGTCGTGATTAGTAACTATGATTGAGAATAAATCGACAAACCTATATTTCCCCCAGTGTCAAAATTATGTGGTCCGATTCGATATAACAAAGTAAACATGAGCACAAACAATGCTATAAATACAAACTAATATACTACACATACGTGTCTTTATACACGACCGGAGTCACGTATCGTACATTGTCGCAATAATTTGAGTTACATAACTCCTAAGTAGCTCCTAATTTCCATGGAGTAGTTTGAACAAGGATTTCCAAAGAACCTCAAGAGTCAAATGAAGGACGGTATTCAGACATCAATGGCGCGAACATTACCACAATATGATTTAAGCAAATGCAAACGATGGATATATTTAGATGGCAATATGATTCTTTTACAGCATGAGTGGTAGTTTAGAATCGTCACAGAAAACCAAATAGGCTTTCGTTTATAAGGCAGACAGATTTCCATAATTTTAGGCTGTCATATTTGACCGAATAAACACAATACAATCCCTTTTAGTCAAACCGCACATAGACAAGGTAAATAACTGATAGCCCGCTGAAAATTCAATAATTTGATTGATGTCTTGCATCCTTTCATTTTTATGTATAATGGACGTATTAACTTAAATAATTACATTTGCAAATGACACCAGGAAAAACACAACTATTTTACAGTTCTTATACAGGGTGACCCTGAAAATAGAACCCATCAATTTTTGATTACTTCTACGAAAGTGAAGAAAATATATATAGTACTCAAAATTTTGCTTGTGTATGATTGTACTCAAAAAGTTCCAGACGCTTTGCACAAAAGTTATGTTCTCTCTAGAATATCTTCAACATTCCTGTGTTCTGTTTTTATTTGCAGAGAGCTATAGAGCGGTTTTCGTGAATCACGGCTATTTCTCAAGATTTGACAACAGAAAAAAATGAACTTGAGACTTACTTCACCTTTAAAGTCAGTTTATTTTTCGCTGAAAACGTCTTTGTCGAGTTCACCACATACAGTCATTCAAGTTCACCAAGTTTAAAAAAATCACGCAAGTTCATCAGACCATGTGTTACGTCAGACCCATATGGGGTAATAAAAATATCACACTTCGATAACGTTGTATTTAGATAATACGCAGTGGTAATCGGACAATACATCAGAAAGTTGAAATGGCGTAACAATACGCCTTCGTGACGCAGATACAAGCATTTGTCGATAATGGCATACTTCATAAATGGACGTCAATTCTTATGGTTTGTATTTTGCAATTGTATCCAAACGCAAAACATTATTTATAAACATCAATTATGGCTTGTTTTTATATAGTATATCCATTAATCTATTTGCAAGTACGTTTTTTATATGTAATATAAAGTTATTTTTGTGAAAACTTCCCTACCATGGGCGTCATGCCATCAGACCAATTGATGCTTTCGGTGACATTTTAATATTTGTTAACTTATTATACTATTAATATTTTAAATTGCAAACGCGCAAATGTCTCGGGCAATTGTCCAGAACACGTCAACAATAGCAGGAGAAAATAATTGATGTTATTTCTGATATTAGTAGATTAATTATATCTAATTGATCAAAAATATAGATTACGCAAATGCACATCTGTGGAAGTTTGCACGCAAATCATCGAGTTACATTTTTAGCAGAGCAACAGTATTTGTGCCAAAACATTTAATAAAACAAAAATGAAATTAACACTATTCAAAAAGGCTTTAGTTTAGTATTCACTCATTCAAGTTTTTTTTTATTTTTTAAATTTGCAATTATTGGGGTGAAGTAGTAATTTCTATCAAGTTTAACGAAATGAAATCGACATAAATAATATTGTACAGTTACGAACTTAATGAGATTGAATTATCAAAATGTGCTGTTGCTACAACTGTGAAAAACACTGCAATTAAAAAAAAGATTTATGTCTTGGACTTCTTATATATATTTTCAAACATACACTTGACGTCTCTTATAGATGCGTTATAGCAAAAAATGAAAAAAAAATTCCATTTGTGGAGTCATGCACCCAATTGGCACGCACAAAAGTTGTTGTAAAATCTCTGTATAGTTTTGGGGTTATTGGCAGGTAAGCATATAAAAAAAAAACTTAATTTTTACCAGAATTCCCAGTTTTAATATTTCGTAACACAGAAAATGTATCTCAAAGTGACATGCTTTACACAAAAGTACTGGTAGCGCTTTTGAGTCAAATCATACATAGTAATTTTCGGACTCGCTTTATTTAAAAAAAAACCTACAATTTTCATTTAGTTTAATCATAATTCTAAACATGCAACGTTAATTTTTAAATTCCATTTGAAGGCAATTTACTTGTTGCACAATATTAGTTTGGTAATGCATTGTTGATGGAATACACCACAGAAACGTGATCCGACATTGGCTCAGGCTCACAGATATTACTGATAAAAACGGGCAACTAATAAAGAAATTTCACTGTAATTTGAAAACCGTATGCAGACGTCAAGATTGGGTAGTGAGGAATGAACTAACTATATTTTACATTGAGTTTCAAGTCCCGAGATTTGTATTAGCACCAGAAAAGTCAAGTTCTGTGTGGATATTTCAGTCAGTATCAGAGATAAATATTTGGTCAGAACTGTTATTTCGCTATCGGCACCTAAAAATTTAAACGAAGAAAGCGTACGTTGACGCATATAAACGAGGACGTTTTTAAATCTTCCTGTTGGTTTAAAATGTCATCATTCACTTTTGCGTGAGGCTATATTTGTATCTTGCGTATAAGGCGTGAATAAGTGATTATTATTGTGACCTTCTCAGCTACAAATTTACTTCATCTAAGTCTAAAAACTTTGAAAATGTTCATTTTGGAAAGGTCGCCGTGACGCAACGGGCTGATAACAAAATGTCAATTATCCCTTGAACGATCTTCGTATCGACACCACACGATCACTTAAAAAAAAAATTTTGTTATTCAAACAAGTTCGACACCGTAGCATAAACAATTAAAAAAAATGAGAAGTTTAAAATATATTACATTCGGATATGGGCATGGCCATAGGTAGAACATGCCAGTTAGAATACGGGCCGTCGCTGGGCGTTGAACTCGGGTAATATAATATTCATATTCTCATGAGTTGAAAATAGGCGAATATAGATAGTTTGTCGGCATTTGTGTGATCGGCGATCTAAATTTGACGTCGCGTACGTCAAGTAACGCGACTCGCAGTTAGCATTTATCCAATACGCAAAGTAGTTTAAAAGTCACGCAACCTTGGATCGAAAACATTTTGAAAAGGTCAATAAATGAAGTTAAAATTTATCACGTAGTCGTAGACGATAACAACCTTGAATATACGCATTTAACTCGTTAAATCTATTTTGCAGGTTCTAGTATACTAAAAATTTGCGAACAAAACTTTATGATTAGAAACAAATTATAAGTATATGGTTATTTCACGGAGTTCGTTCCAGACCGTTTGATGCAATAGAAGTTATCACCCCTACAATCTTAAATCTGTCATTAATATGCAGTCGTATGTCTTCATGACCTTTATTAAAATTTAAGCAATGTAACTTTATCTATGCAAAGGAACTACAA